GTTGACCTTTTCAAAGAACCAACTCCTAGTTTTGTTGATAGTTTCAATTGTTTTTCTGTTTTCTATTTCATTTATTTCTGCTCTTGTTTTTATAATTTCCGTTTTTTTAAAGGGTGTCGGGTTTTCTTGCTGTTCTTTCTCAATTTGCTGGAGATAATAAATCAAATCTGATGATGTTTATCACCAGGTTTAATTTTAAATATTTACTAAGATCTTATTTAGATCATACTTTGTTATCTTCCCTTAGGACAATTTTGCATTATATATCAAGAAGCTTTAAAAGTTTTGATCTTAAAAATAATGTTTCTACATCAAGGCTTGTAGCTAGGGGAAAGAATTTTAAATTTGGAAAAAACCCAAAAAGAAGCATTAAACAGAGTAAAGAGAGCTCTGGTATCCTACGAGATAGGGAGTTTTGCTGTCATACCAAAGGTGAGCAGTTTGACTTCACTAGCTGCTCTGTAGCAGAAAGGTGATCAACCTCCATGCAATTTACAGCCTCTGAAAACCCACTGAATTCCGTTCCAATTTGATAACAATGAGTTGTTGTTGTTGTTTTTTATACAGAGTATATTCAATAGTTGGAAGCAGGAGTGGCATCCACTGCCACAATAGCTTCCCTCTGGAAACCCTATGAACCTAGAGAAAGGATGAAAGTTATACAGGAATTGTCCAGGACTTTCGTTCATAGGGTCGCTATGAGTTGGCTGCGACTCAACGGCACTTAATAACAACAACAACATATTCAATAGAGTATTTTTATAAAGCAAACTAGAAAACTCAATTATTGTCAAGTTGCTTTGACTCATGACAACTCCATGTTCATCGGAGTAGAAATGTTCTCCATAGGATTTCTCAATGGCTTACTTTCAGAAGTATATCATCAGAACTTTCATCTGAAGTTATTTCTACATGAATTTATGACTAATTTTTGTATTCCCAGATAAATTTGCTAATTTGTTTGCTATACCCAAAAAATCCAGCACTATTGTACAAAGAATTGTACAACACTCTGTGTCCATGTCTTTCGATTTTTCATTGAATTTAACCAAATTTCTTTTTTGTGTGCCTTGAACTGACTTATGTTTAGTATGAAAGACCTCCACATTTGACTTTTTCTCTTCTTGGAATGTTCTTCTTTCATCTTTCACTTTATTATTTTATCTAAGACCTCTTGTTCAACAGAATAATTTCATTTGTTATGAAATAATATAAGAAGAAAATGAATTTAGATTTTTCATTCTTATTGTATTACTCTCATTTACACCCTGGATTCTTAAAGCAATTAAAAACAAAAAAGAGAAAAGCCTTCTGTCATCGGTTCAATTCCTATTCATAGATATCACCCATAGGGTTCACAAGGGTATAAAAAGAAATTTTTATGGCAGGAGACTATTCATCATTCTCCTGCAAAGTAGTTGATGAATTTGAATGCTAACATCTCAAAACATCTCACAGCAGCCTGACAAATTCTGGAAATATGAAATTTAAAAAAAATTATTGTGTTGTGTGAAGGAATGAGTCCAGATCTTTAGGCCTCAGGACTGTAAAGAGTCTCTGAAGACATCAAGGGAGGAGAAGTTAACAAAATGACAAAGATCTGACTGGAATGTAAAGACAGGGTAATGTTGGGCATAATTTAATAGTTATTGATTTTGTAAAACATAATGGATGAGAATGGTTGTATAAAACACAGTGTGAATGAAAGATAGTGTGAAACACAATCCATATGAACTGTGTGTGCAAGCAACTGTAAAATTAAAAAAAAAATGAACAAAGATCAATTGGCCAAACAGCTTTCAGAAACAATGTTCCATATCTAATTTTGACAAGAAAACTCAGAGCTGTTGAAGATAACATTTTGGATGTATATTTCAAAACATATTTACATGGTATGGTCAAGTACTCTTTAGTTTCCAAGCACCTTTGTTGTTTAGGTCTTTTGTCACAAGTTTTTCCAAAATAAGTAGTTGCTAGACTAAATAAAATTTTAAAAGAGAAGAAGAAAAGAAAGGATTGTAAACTGCCATATAAGGTGTAACTTTTAGTCTCCCTTGTCCAGAATAAATGAGGGAGAAAAAGGCCAAATGAAAAGGACTAATCAGCTTCATGGCTCTGGGACCAGGAGATCTAGAAGATGCTCTGCTGCCACTTCTGACTACTCTAAAAGGAAATGCACAGAAGGTCAGTGTGTGAATCGTATGGAACAAAACTTAAAAAACAAATAAAATGATCAGGAAAATGATAATGAAGTTTGTTGATGAGTCTTCTCCAAACCTGATGCCAGTTTCTTCCTCATAAAGCCTTGCTACCTGAATAATCCATTCTGCATATAGTTTGAAAAGGTATGGAAACCTGCAGAAGGTCAAGGACTACAATCTACAATATGGATTGAAGCTCGATATCAAGAAGACAAAGATTCTCACCACTAGGACAATTGGCAGCACCATGATAGATGGAGAAAAGTTTGAGGTCGTTAACAATTACAGCTTGTTCAGCCCCACAATCAACACTCTTAACACCAGCAGTCAGGAAATTAAAAGACTAATTGAATTGGGAAAATCTATTGTCAGGGACCTCTCCAGAGTATTGAAAAACAACTATGTCAGTCTAGAGACTATGGTGCACCTAATCCAAGCCATGGTCTTCACAATTACTTGCTATGCATCAGAGAGTTGGCCAATGACTAAGAATGACAGAAGAAGAATCTATGCCTTCAAATTGTGGTCTTGGGGGAGCCTTAAACTGCCGTGGACTGCCAAGAAAGCAAATAGGTCTGTCTTGGAGACAGTGAAACCAAGATTCTCTTTGGAGGCTAGGATTTTGAAACTCTGTCTCATACTTTGGGCACATGGCTTGGAGGGATAGGTCCTTGGAGAAGAACATCATGCTTGGAAGAGTGAAGGACAGCATAGGAGAGGAAGACCCCAGATGAAATATATTGATACAATAACTGGGATAATGGGGAATTGGTGTGTCAGAAATAGTGAAGATGATTCAGGACAGGGCAGGGTGAAGAGCTGCTATACATAGGATTGCTATGGTTCACAGGCAATCAATGGCACATAACAACAAAAACTTGTTTGATAGAAACTGGAGGAATCCTCATGTTATGGCCTTAATCACCCAACAGGCCTGGGGGCAAAAATCATTCCTGTGAGTTAACTTTTATGCAAGTGACATACAAACTTGTGAAAAATGACATCAGAGGAATATTCAGTTATTAGAATAATCAACTGTACAAAATTAAAATGTCACTATTTTTTTCAGGAATAAAACAAAGAGAATAGGAAGTGGTAGGAAAGAAGGAAAAAAGAAATCAGAATTACAGAGAGGAAAAGAGTGTAGTTGCATTGTTAGTAGTATAATCAAACTTAAAGAAGAAAATTTAGATGGATGGTTGAATGGAAAAATAAATTCTCCTGAATACTTTTCATCAAATCACAATTTAAAACAACAAAACATGTCATTATTGATACTAGGTTTGTTTCTTTTATTAAGTTAGTTTAGGGTAATGTGCCTTCTATACATGACAGGTACCTTTTCTTCAACACTAAAAACTTGGTGAGAAGATTTCTTATGGGGCCTAGCTCTTCTCACAGTCTGCATGAATGTTAATAAAAGTGAAGGCTAAGCTTCCTGCAGCTTCCTCTGCTGTTTTCATATTGGCCAATGAACAGGAATCTCAGTTATACTCGGAGTTATACTAACATGATAGTAAGTATAAACAGAAAGAATAAATTCACTCTTCTTTTTCAGCTCTATGATAGTACTTAATATATAATGAATGAATACTTGCAAATTAAATCAAAATATGGAAACTATCCATTTCCTACCTGTTGTTGTTGTTTTTTTGTGTCCTAGCAAGAGCAGGGATTGTAAGAAGTATTCATGTAGGAAAATTGGACATTGGTAAAAAATAAATTGAATGAATGAATATTGACATGGTGGGCACTGATGAGTAGAGATGAGTTGGCATGGAACCTTTTGAATTAGACAAGCCTATGATCTACTATGCCAAGAATGAAAGAAAAAAAAAAGAGAAAAAGCGAGCTTGTATTCATAGTCAAAGAAAACATTTCTAGATCCATCCTGAAATACAATGTTGTGAGTGACAGGATAATATCCATACTCATACAAGTAAGATCTGTTAATACTACTGCCATTCAAAAATATGCAACAGCAACTAGAGTCAAAGAGGATAGAAGGTTTCAAGTAACATTTGCAATCTGAAATAAATCACAACACAATCACAATTCATTAGTATTTACTTGTGACTATAATGCAAAGAAGCACTGGTGGCCTAGTGGAAAGAAGCTGCACTGCAATCTCAAAAGCACAAGGTTCAGCTCCAACAGCTGCTCCTCAGGAGAAGATTGTGCAACCTTCTCTCACGTGATTAACTTTCTCTGAAAACCTGCCAGACTCTTAGCTATGGGTCGGTTCCAACTCGATAGTACCCAGCAAAAACAACAACAGAATGCAGAAGATGAGAACAAGATAAGACTGGTAGTTGAAAAATATGTACTTTGACAAAAATGAGACTGAAGACGTAATAATTATAGAATTTTGCACAATCACAATTTTGTCATTGCAAATGCTTTATATTAAAAAACACAATTTATGTTTTTTAAAAGTTATATACACTATACATTTGAACCTCACGTAATAGATTATGCATGAATCAGAATCAGATTGATTACTTTTGTGGAAAGACTTATTGAAGAAACTTAAAGTCATCTCTGAAAATCAGGTCAAGTGCTGACTAAAGAACAGATCATCAACTACTCAATTTATGTGTAAATGCAAACTGAAGCTAATAAAAATTAAATCTATGAAAACCAAATATAATTTTGAGTCCATCCTATCTGAATTAAAAAAAATATTTCAAGTATAATTTTGAAGCATTGAACATTTGATTGAAGACCAGATGAGCTGTGAGTTGACATCAAGGACATTATCTATACACAAAGCAAAAAGTCAAAACAAAGATAGAGGAGGGGGAAAGACCAAAATGAATTATAGCAGGCTCTTAATAATGAAAAATACCACTAGAGATTGCTGGTAAGGAGAAAATACTGATGAGTCTGGGCAGACTATTCTGAGAATATGAGGACTTAGCAAAAACTTATACTATGCAGATAAAATAACCTGGCCTGCTGAAAGTGAGAGGGTCATGAAGGACTTTTTTAGAGGATCAAGGATTACAACCTTCAATATGAATTATATCTCAACATCAAAAACAATAATCATGCACACTGGGCCAATTGGAAACAACATTATGGAGGAAAAAAATTTAAATTCTCAATGATTCTTTTCTTGCATGGATTCACAATCAATACTCTTGGTACCAGTCAGGAGAGTGGGAAGTGTACAGCATTGGGAAAGTCTGCTGTCTGAGATCTCTTCAAAGTTCTGAAAATAATGATGTCAGTTTCAAGACTAAGGTATGCGTGCTTCCAGTCACAATCTTTCCAATCATCTGCCATGCATCTTAGAGCTGGACAATGAATAAGGATGACAGAAGAAGAATGGATGCATTTGAGCTCTAGTGTTGGAGAAGAGTGCTAAACATCCCATGGAATGCCAAAGGAACAAACAGGTATGCCTTGGAGAAAGTACAACTAGAATCTTTTTTGGAGGGAAAGAAGTGAAGCTTCATCTCACATATTTTAGGGCAGACTATTCTTTGGGAAGGGACATCATGCTTGGAAAGGTGATGGGCTGGCTAAGAAGAGGAAGAACATCAATGAGATGGACTGATAGTTTTTGTAGCAATGACCTATGATCTATGATCTGTGTTCTATTGTTCATAGGACTTTTATTAGTTACTTAACTTGAAGTACTTACAGACAATATCGACTCTACCCCATGCCATCTTTTCTCATTTTGTCTCATCACATAGCTTAGCTTCAGTGGAAGTTATTCTGAAGGATTCATTAAGGGTAGATTGTCTACAAATTAAATAGCTATTGAATAATAAAATAATTATTTGAAGTCTTTGTCATCTTATGCTAAGCATTCAGATGATATGACCTAGGGAAAATAAAAATACATTGCCAAAGATTTTTCTCTCTAGCAGATATTATAGATGAAACAGAGATGTCAGTTGTAAGATAGGCTCTATAATTACTCAAAATTTTGAGGCTTCAAGTAGCAGTAAAACATTGGCTTTACTCCTGGAAAAAAAATAAATGGATTTTTTTGTAAGAATTACACATATTCCTTGCTTACTCTTGTTTTTGTTGTGCTGAATTAAGAGTTTCTGTTAATAACTAATTTCCTTTATATGTTTTATCATCCTGGAGCATTTTCACAATGCAAGGAAAGATCTATATATGTCAGTCTTGGCCAGTGTTAGAACACTGGAGAATAATGTGACTCCAGTGCAATACCAAGTAGCATTGGATAACTAGATACCGTTGTTCTTAAAACACCTTTAATTATATAATTTACCAGGACTACTGGGTGTCTACTGTCTCTATCTCTGTCTCTCTACATGTTCTTAATCTCTATCTTCCTCCTCGATACCTCCGCTTTTCTTATTTCAAGTAAAATTCATAAAATACTAGTATTTCTCAGAGCTTTTATTTTTATTTTACTCTTAATAGAGGTCCAGACTTCCTTTTATGTACCAAAATTTGGCTAGTACATCATGTTAAATAAAACTTTGCTCTTTGATTTTTGTAAGGGTGACTAGAAAAGACTTGTAACAACTTCAAAACTAGACTCTTTGTGTTTATTTTTTTTAAAATCATTATTAGTTTGGCTTCAATACAAGTATCACTTTTTAGCTTCAATAACAATATGCATTAATAATTCCGGTTGATTTAAGGAAATGGCATTTGGACAACATTTTAATACATGAATAACTAGAGAAACACGTTACAAAATAAGCAGGGAAGCTTTGTAAGGAATGTCCAGCATCAGTTCAATATAAAACTGCTACTTTTTCTGATTAATCCTAAATGCCATATATTAAACCACTGTCATCATTGCCACAGGACAGTGAGCTTTAGATATCACCATTGTTGTCCTGAAATGATTTTCATTATGCGTGACCCCATTCTTGTCATCATTGCTCCTGAAGCAGATACTGTAATTGTATTTGTTTCTACTACCTCTACAACTCGATGGCACTTAACAACAACAGCAACATCTCTACTTTTACCTGTGCAGGTATA